TCACTTGGGGCGATTTTTGGGGACATTTCAGGGATATTTCAGGGTCATTCGGGGTCGGTTTTTGGGGCAGTTTTTGGGACATTTCAGGGCCGTTTTTGGGGCAGTTTTTGGGACATTTCAGGGCGGTTTTTGGGGCAGTTTCTGGGACATTTCAGGGCAGTTTTGGGGACATTTCAGGGACATTTCAGGGCGGTTTTTGGGGACATTTCAGGGCGGTTTTGGGGGACATTTCAGGGCGGTTTTTGGAGACATTTCAGGGACATTTCAGGGTCACTCGGGGTCGGTTTTTGGGGCAGTTCCTGGGATATTTCAGGGACATTTCAGGTCGGTTTTTGGGGACATTCCAGGGACATTTCAGGGCCGTTTTTGGGGACATTTCAGGGATATTTCAGGTCGGTTTTTGGGGACATTTCAGGTCCATTTCAGGGCAGTTTTTGGGGACATTTCAGGGACATTTCAGGGCCGTTTTTGGGGACATTTCAGGGCAGTTTTTGGGACATTCCAGGGACATTTCAGGGCCGTTTTTGGGGACATTTCAGGTCCATTCCAGGGATATTTCAGGTTGGTTTTTGGGGACATTTCAGGTCCATTTCAGGGCCATTTTTGGGGACATTTCAGGTCGGTTTTTGGGGACATTCCAGGTCCATTCCAGGGACATTTCAGGGATATTTCAGGGTGTTTTTTGGGGACATTTCAGGAACATTTCAGGGACATTTCAGGGCCATTTTTGGGGCCATTTCAGGGACATTTCAGGGCAGTTTTTGGGGCATTTCAGGGACATTTCAGGGTGTTTTTTGGGGACATTCCAGGGACATTTCAGGGATATTTCAGGTCGGTTTTTGGGGACATTCCAGGGACATTTCAGGGACATTTCAGGTCAGTTTTTGGGGACATTTCAGGGCAGTTTTTGGGACATTTCAGGGACATTTCAGGGTGTTTTTTGGGGACATTTCAGGGACATTCCAGGGACATTTCAGGGCGGTTTTTGGGGACATTTCAGGGCAGTTTTTGGGACATTCCAGGGACATTTCAGGGTGTTTTTTGGGGACATTTCAGGGACATTCCAGGGATATTTCAGGGCAGTTTTTGGGACATTCCAGGGACATTCCAGGGCAGTTTTTGGGGACATTTCAGGGTCACTCGGGGTCGGTTTTTGGGGCAGTTCCTGGGATATTTCAGGTCCATTCCAGGGGTATTCCAGGGATATTTCAGGGCAGTTTTTGGGGACATTTCAGGGACATTTCAGGGCAGTTTTTGGGGACATTTCAGGTCCATTCCAGGGCAGTTTTTGGGGACATTTCAGGGCAGTTTTTGGGGACATTTCAGGGCAGTTTT